GTTAAGCTAATTTTAGAGTTCTAAAGCAGCATCTATCAATTAGCACATCTTTCAGCTAACATATAAACATAATTTTAGAAGTTCTATAATAATCTTTACACTTAACCGTACTCTAACGAAAACAAATTGGATAGACGTTTGAATAGGTATATTTTACCTTTCATCGTGTTCGTGGAAATCTCGTCAAGTATCTAGAGACGGCTTAGCACACCGCATTCTGGCACTCTAAAAAGACGAACGAGAATGTAGTGGAGACTTTCGAGCTTTGGCAACCACTAACGAGGAAAATATGTCGTATTTTCTACGTAATTTCAACGATAGATAAGTACTTATTATAACAAAAGTTTTATTCAAATAGTTGAAATTGATAATGGAGGGGGTGAGTAAAAAGATGATAATTGAAACAAAGTGAGATTCAGGAAGATTTATGGAGTTTAATAACAAAGAAGAACCATTACCGTTTTCATCGGGCCAACGAAGTTTGTTTCATTACTAAAAGCTTGGGCGAGAGAGAATGGAGAAGTTTTTATGTGAAAGTATGAATCGTTAGTAATAAGCTCCCAAGTGAATAAAAGTAATTGGATAGTAAATTAAGAATGATTGGATAAACTTTCTAACAATAAATGGTATTTGCAATTATTAAATTCTTCTTTTTAAGATCTTTTATTTTATTATGTGTATTTTACTTAAAATTTATGTTGTTTTCTGATTTCTGGTAATATTTTCAGTAACTAGATAATTAAGGTTAAGAAACGAACACATACATTTTTAGATACTATTTTAACGAAGTACATACTTACCATAAAGGCATTCTACAAACTAATGAAAGTAAATAATTACGTATCAAATTGAAATACTTTAAACGTTAATAGAACAAATCAACGGTGTAGGTAAATAAATGAACACCAAAAACAATTATTTTGCATAGTCTTCATCGCTGAATTCATGTTTATACCTTCCGAAGCAGAATCTTCGTAATTTTGTGCTGAATGGAGGAAAAACGTTTCAAACGTTCCAAAACTAACTTATATAACGCTCAAGTAAATCAAAATAAATCACCAATATTTTATCTTAAGAATTCGAAAGCGAAGACATATTCAAATATTTTTTTTGATCAATGTTAATAGTAAAATCCATTTTACCAGTAGATGTGAATAATATTTGATTAAATTTTGATTTTTATAAAATCACTAATTGTACTTTTATACTGGTTTATTATAAGTAAATCCGCTTTACATGTTTCGACTAATTAGTCATCTTCAGAAGCGTTGTCGTAATATAAGAAACGGCGTTCAAAAAACTACGCATAAAGTATAAATCGTAAATAAGGTCAGCACATCAAAAACGGTGATATTCAAAACAATTATTGTAAATATTAAATTTTAAAAAATTATAGAACTAACATGTTAAAATGTAAATGTAAAGTTTAAGAATTAAAATTAAAAACGACGTTACATGAAAAGTTACAAAACTAAAATGGTTGATCAACCATTTGAATATCACCGTTTTTGATGTGCTGACCTTATTTACGATTTATACTTTATGCGAAGTTTTTTGAACGCCGTTTCTTATATTACGACAACGCTTCTGAAGATGACTAATTAGTCGAAACATGTAAAGCGGATTTACTTATAATAAACCAGTATAAAAGTACAATTAGTGATTTATAAAAATCAAAATTCAATCAAATATCATATTCAAATATGTTAGGCTGAGAATCATAAGGAGTAAGTCACAAAACTTCGATATTAAGAAGATCATCAACAACATATTTTTGGTATTTTGCTGAAACATTGGCGTAACCTTTTTTGCAAAGTTGAGATCTTGTTCGGTTTGCATTAATAATGATTTCTTTCGTATCATACAAACTCACTCAAATTTCGTAAAAAATGTGGTTTGTACAAGACAGAGCACGACTCTGTTAATCTAAGAGAGTGTTTGCAATGTTGGAAGAGCACTTTGGAGTCGCATTCTGGTATTAAGGAAGTTGATTGTTCGTTGAATCCATTGAATTTTAGTAAGATTTAGATCATATATTTAAATAATGTTAAAATTAAACCTAAACATAATACGTTTCAACCCAACCCAACAATAACTTTCCACAACATATTTGAAATAAATTGATAACAAAAACAGAACATAAACATACTTTACATGATACAAAAATATTACATAACAGCAGATAAAGTTTTATTTAAAGTAAATGAAAAAAAAAAGAAAATACTAAATTGAAATTGATGCATTCAGAGTGTTTTCAACTGAAGAACGAGACAAAACACTCAAATTCGCGCAAAATCAACCTTGTTTCCAAGGTCTGAAAACATAAACCTAAAGTGAAAGCGTTTTACTTTATTTTGGAAAATAACCAAATTAAAAGGGAACTTGTTTAGATTTTAAGATTAAGCAGCTTCCTATTCTCATCAACTATGCCCACACAACTTCACAGTGTGTATTTTACATTCACCGACAGTTAAAAAAAAAGGGTTAGACTGTTGACATGACTTAAAAAAAGAAAATGTGCAAATGATATTATTTTATATTATTACTTAGCACACCATTTATTGTTGTCATAATTTACGGTGATTCTCCAAAGTAAAACAAAATACATCAACCGAAGAACTATAACGTATTTAATTGTAACACATTCACTTCTCCCTTAGATCAGGTGGTTGGAAAAAATAAAAAGTTTATCATATTATCACTTATTCGAGAGATTACCACTCATTATCATTCATTCAGATTATCAATTGTGATGTATTCAATTGCTATAAAACTGTGACGAAGAAATCGTTGGCATCACAAAAACCATTAAAAGATCCTTTCACATTTGCTCAACAAGAAATGTTAATTAGTATCTTAATTATCTGTAGTTATGAACAAAATTTACATATGAACACAATTTACAAAATTATTGATGTATAATTTTGTAAATTGTTCATCAATTGTACATTTTGTAAATCATAACATTTCCAATTGTATAAGATTCGTTTCTTTCCCAGAATGGATGTTTGAAAAAGAAGAAAAGATTATCGAAAAGATGGAAACTATTGTTAAACTAAAAAAAAAGGAGCTTACGAATATTCAAGCGCAATGAAGTTGTGAAGAAGAAATGGGCACAAAGAAGTATAATAAAATCATCAAATAGGCTTTTTAAATTTATAGTTTATCGTTCATGAATGGATCCAGTCCATGATGAACGAGACGATGGTAGTGAAATTTGCAATTAATAATTGTGCTCAGTTCTTTGTTAATTCCTTACAAACCTTTCCATAATGAGTTATGCATTTATTTATTTATTATCTCGTTGAAATCGAAGAGGTTTGAACTACCATTCAGATTCAGATTATTTTATAGACGATGATTACACAGTTTTCTTGATTGCAATTAGTTTGTACTATATTGCCATTAACAATTGTTTTTTTAACTTTCTGTGCCCAATGTTGTTTTTATTAGAAGTAACTAAAGTTCTGTTTATCTCCTTCCTTACGTCGAGTTTAAGACTTTAAACGAATATCCCTCATTTCCAAGCAACGCATTTACCAACAGATTAACAAGTATTTTAAAAATTTTCAATTCAGTGACGCAGCGATTGTTATATTTCAAATCATTTCGTTGTAATACGAGAGACACGTTTGTGCCTTTCTCTACCTTTTTCGCTCCTTTGATTATACCTACAAAACGCTTGTGAAGGTAAAGAGAAGCTAGGTAGTTACGTCCCACTTTTAACAAATTGATATGATTTCCGATTTTAGAGAATATTTTGTTATTTGATATAGATAAGTAAGGTTAGATCACAAGAGAGCAGAAATCACAAGAGTTGAGGAATTAAGGTCGCTCTGACATCGCAGGTGTTCCAGTACATTAGGTTATTGACGAAGGGAGAGTTAAAAGTCATTGGCCAGACTTTGGTAAAAACCGTTTTCATTAGTTCCTATGTCTGATGCCTCTAGGGTTACAACCTCATAATAATAATAATTATAAATGACTTTATTGTCTCCATTACAAAGAAGAAACTACAATACAAAAAACAAAATGTTAAACAGAAACCTCATGGACTAGCACCATAAGTTATAAGTAGCGAAACTTTCGCAGAGTGCCTCAGAGTACCTACTAGTGATGTTGAGAAACTACTTGGTCTCTGATTAAAATAACATCACAAGATGTTTTTTACACACGGAAATATTAGGTGTCTAACTTTGCAATATCATCAGGCAAGATGGGAACACAACACTTTTACGTATACACTGTAATGGAAAGGGCAGAAAACACTCAATGGGCATCGATTTTTTGAACTTCTATCAATTATCAATTACATAATGAGTTCTATAATAAAAAAAACAAATAAAAATCCCGCAATGATGTAGTATTAGGTTATTTTGGTTGAAATTGAACTGTTCTCCAATATTATATCCTTTTCTAGAACCTAAACATACTTTTTTGCCTCGCAATCTTGCCTTTGGGCTTTTTGAAAAACTATAAGGAAAAAAGACCGCAATTTTTTTTCTCCCTCTGCAAACATCATAAATAAAATGAGCAAAAAGGTCACCCTCATTAAAGTTCAACAACACACGATGACCATGTTTGTTCCTTTTTTCAGTACTTTTTACATCATTATTGAGACCAAGGATAAGTCAAGGGATTATTGAGTGCGGTAAAACCGTCTCCCTATTAACCCCACAAAAAGAGAAAATAATGATGGTGGAGCTACGGCTAACTTGTCTATCGATTCCATCAGTTTACAACAATCCACTGCCGCTGAAGTTTGAAAATTAATGACATCATGATTTAGGCACAAAGTGTGGGGGGAAACGAATCGCATTTATGCAAGGGATTAAAGTCAAATGCTTGTTTTGACGTAGAAGTCGACAATGAAACGATAGAGATATTTTTGAGCAATATTTGTAATATAAGTTTATATTGTTCCTTTTTCTATTATGGTAGTTTGTATTTAAATTCATCATTCTGCACAAATCTTTATATAGGTTTTCAAAATTACTTACCACAATACAATTCATTCCAAGTCCAACGATGTAAAGATAAATACTTGGTACCGTTGATTCGTGATAGGGATGCATAAGACTTTCATCGTTGCAAAAGAACCCTCTCTCGTAGGGTTGTGCCCAGAGGAATAAGAACAGTATGGGAAATCCCACTGCAAAACAAAATAATAGAAAATAAGACCTCGAGATTCTCTCTTACGTCAGAGCAAAACATTGACTATTCTATTTTGTTCGCTGACGCGAATCGCGTCAATGTCAGTTTATCTTTTCACGGTTAACACCTGTGCTACTCACAAACGTTATTGATTTACTATTCAAAGATTATACACCAATAAAATGATCTAATTTTATGATTTCTTTTTATTTATTTATGTATTTGTAATTGACTTACCGCATAATAATAAAAAAACGTCTAGAAATACTTTAGTCGGTGGTATCACCTGCGAAATCTGTGCCATTTTTACTTTATCGATTCGTAACTTAATCGCGTTAGATTTTATGACATGACATTCGCGTCGAATTGTTATTTACCGAAATGAACGAGAGTATTTACGACATAATCGGATCGTGCCCGAACTGAATAATGTAACGCAGTATACGGCTCGATAAGAACTGAGCTGAGTCCACTGACATTCGCGCGTATTGCGTTTGACGCTAGAACACCTGTGCACCCCACCAACGTTGGCCAGGACTGCGCAGAACGTTCCGTATAAAAGCCCGAAGCAGATTGGGAGATCTCCTTATTCTCACTCACCGAGAATCAGCTATGAGATAGTAGTATCTCTGTAAACGTATTTGTGGATGCTGCGAAGTTGTGACGTAGATTCATTCATAAAAATCGTTCTTAGAACTTTAAGGAAGTAAATAAAAATGTTTTTTTAGTTTCTATTTATAGAATTGAAAAATACTTTAATGTTTATTTTTTTAATTCCAAATGAATATTAATATGTATATAGGGAATTCTTTATTGTATCTCAATCAGTTGTACCAATTAACGCAATACATTCTTTTACAGTTGCCTAGATACAAGATTGATTTTGGATTCTCTTTTTAAAGACCAGCAGTAATCTGCCATCATGTGACAATCCCATCGCCCCTGATCAGAGTTGGGTAGTATCCGGATACTTCTGTATCCGGATACAGTAGCCGGATACTTTTTGAGAACCTATACTCTGTATCCGGATACTTTTCAAATTTGGTATCCGGTATCCGTGACTAAATCTGAATGTATTCGGTATCCAGATACTTTTTTCGGTGTTCGGATACTTTTTAATTGAGTTTTTTTATTTAATATTCTATTATTACACACATACATATACACCAGCGAGTTTGAAGCCCCATATTTTTTCAGTTTCTCCTACTATTGTACATCTTTTGTGACTACATCAATAATTGTGGCTTTACATGTTGGAAGTTAGTTGTTCTTCTCTTTTATTATTGTGGGAAAATCGAGGGCTCTCTCTCCGACTAAAATTTGAATGCTAAATTCGAAATTCTTTCTAAATTCATTTTCTAAATTTAGAAAAAATTCAAAGAACTCATTCCCTAGTAAGTGTACACTAAATTTCCCCAGCGAGTGACCACTCGGAAAAAATATAGGAGAAAAGATTAGGAGTCACTATAAGTAAAATATGGATGACAATATGTTAGTTTAACAATAATTTAGGTCATTTTCAAAGTATCCGAAAACTGTAGGATACATGTATCGGGATACTTGTATCCGGATACTTTTATGGAGAAAGTATCCGTACTTTTTTAAAAAAGTATCCGGATATATTGTTTTTCCTGTATCCGTCCCAGTTGACGATCTGATTGCGATAGTCGAAGCCGTTAGTGTGGAAATACAAGCTTATGCTGATGACATTGTCGTTATGGTCAAAGGAACCTGTTTGCCGAGGATATCTAAAGTCCTCCAGGTGACCCTAGATACCATTTGCGCTTGGTGTAAGGGAGAGAACCTCTCAATAAACCCGCAAAAGACAATTGTTGTGCCCTTCACCAGGAAGCGAAAGTTGGATGGACTAATCCGCCCAACTATCCAAGGTGAAGAAATTCCTTTCTCAAAGGAAGTCAAATATCTAGGAGTAATCCTAGACAAAACCCTGTCATGGAATGGACATTTGCAGGGAGTTTTGCACAAAGCTAGACTATCCTTGTGGACTTGTCGCAGTCTTTGTGGAAAAAATTGGGGTCTTACCCCTGAAAGACTGTACTGGCTCTATGTGACTGTGGTTAGACCTATGATCACATACGGAGCAGCAGCCTGGTATAGGAAAGTCCGACAGACTTCAGTTATCAGTAAACTTTCACGAATTCAACGAGTAGCTGGATTGGCAATCTCTGGTGCGATAGGCACAACGCCAACTCTAGCAATGGAGGTTCTGCTTGGCCTATCTCCTCTGCATTTGCATATAGAGAAAGTGGCTAGAACAACCATTTACAGATTTAAGCAATATGCTCAAAACTGTTCCGACATGTCCTACCAATGGGCTGCGGAAGACATTATAAGCACTGATACTGTGCTATCAATGCCGTCAGATTTGGCGGTATCACTATCAGTGATTAATGCTCGATACCAGATTGTACTGCCTGAGCGGCAGTCCTGGATCGAAAATGAAAATTCTCTGGTTCGGGCAGACATTTGCTTGTACACAGATGGATCAAAAACGCCTGAAGGGGTAGGAGCAGGAGTATACTGCCAGACACCTCGAATTAAGCAAGCCTACAGCCTGGGTACGTACTGTACTGTATTCCAGGCGGAAGTATTTGCTATTGACATGGGTGCTAAAATCCTTCTTGAAAGAGGGGTGAAGAACATGACAGTACGAATTTTCTCAGACAGTCAAGCCGCTCTCCAGGCGCTGCAAGCCGTGAAAACGGTGTCGGCTCTGGTTAATGATTGTAAGAGAACATTAAACACACTGAGTTGTGATAACAGAGTCTCTCTGATCTGGGTCCCGGGTCACTCTGGTGTTGCTGGCAATGAAGCGGCAGATAAGCTAGCACGAGATGGCAGCGCTGAAGCGTTTGTGGGACCGGAACCAGCAGTTGGTGTATCATTTGCGATGGCCAAATATAGGATTGGACTGTGGGCTGAAGAGAGACTTCGCCTACTGTGGACCAGTTCTCCTGGAATGAGACATGCTAAGGTGTTTATTAACATCGCCACTGTCAAACCCGGGAATATTTTAGGACTTGCCCGTAGTAGCATAAAAGTTCTAATGGGTGTTTTTACTGGGCACTGCCGATTAAAAGCACACCTCAACTTGTTGGGTTTAGCCGACGATGTTGAATGCCGACTATGTGCGGAGGAAGCAGAGACGGTTGAGCATGTTTTATGCCACTGCCCTGCCGTTAACCGTATCAGATTCTCGATTTGGGTTGCAGTTTATCTCCTCAAAAGATCTGAATGACCTTTCGCCGAGCAAGGTATTAATGTTCGTTAAGAGCATTGGACTGCACGGTGAAATTTGATAACGATATCTATCGGGGTACAATAGATCCTTAGGGTCGCGGTGCAAGGTTGGTTGGTCCGCCTACCCGATATGTATTCTATGTAATGTAATGTAATGTAATCCGTCCCAGCTCTGGTTTCTGAGGGCATGCGAATTACTTTTGAAACGTAAATAGGCCGAGGGAGATTTTCACTTTGCAGAACAGGACATTTTGTAGACTGTAAGTCTGGATATCTCCACGTTTGATTTCGATTAAAACCTTTAGAATCTACTACGCAAAAGTAACAATCATCGAAATGATTCTTAGGCTCCATCCAGATCATAGGAATACCAAAGTCTAACCCAGAACGTTTTCCTTTTTTCCACAACCGTAAAGACTCAACACAGGACTTACAAACTTTATGAGGAACCCATAATTTATCTAATTTGTCCATTTTAAAACCGAACTATTCAACATAAGTCTCCTCGACAAAGGCTGTCATATTTTTTGTTTTGTTATATAAACACCGCAAATATAACAAAATAAATCACTACTATATTTACACTTTCTTCGTGACGAACTCATGATTTAAAAGACAAGACAAATATATTAGAATGGATATATTAGATGGAGTAATTGAAACAAAATATTAACACATAACAACTTATCCAGATTCACGTGTAAGTACTTCAATATTGTCAAATAACTGAGATCTTAGCTGTTCTGTGGAGCAAGGAGTCTGAGAGTGGGGATCACGTGATGTTTGTATGCTCGGAAGCCTAATCATGACTGGGAAAATAAATGTTATTACTAACAAGCCGATAATTGTTCAAAATATAAGATATGTAAAAATCATAGAAAACAAGAGCACATTCAGTACTTTCATGAATATATTCGTAATCTGGGCACTGGAAAACATAAAAATTTGCAAAGATATCCAGGGCAACAAAAAACAATTGTTTTCTTGTAGAGCTGTGATATACATTTATCTTTTTTAAGGGGTTATATACACTTGAGGCAGTAGAATTATAATAATATATATCTTTATTGCCCAACAAAGTACTAATTACAGGACAATATTATTCTATACAGAAATACAAACTTACATTAACACAAGAATCAATTAAACACTAAGCGAAAACATTATAATCGTCTCTCAGGTTTACAAGCCTGCACATTCTCTGTAGCGGATCGGTAGCCTGCACGTTGGTTCTACTGTTTTTCAAATAGAAGACAGTAATAGAAGACACAACTGTATCGGGTAGCGTGGCTGGGCACAATGAAGTTAATGCAAGACTGTAACCAGTTACAATCCATCTCACCACTCACCAGCTTTATAATAAATCTGTCAAGCGAAGAAAAATGGCAATTGGCAACAAAGATTGTCACGAACAGGATATGCTCCATCCACGCGAAAGGAAAGGTACTTTAAACACCCTTTTGAATTCTCTCCAATAGAAGACGATGCGAGATATAATGCGGTGACCATATAGCAGACCCATACTCCAGTCACGGCAGAACAAGCACCCGAAAAAGCAATATAGCACAAAGCCAAGCATCCTCGCAGCATAAGAAGCGACATCCTCTGTGTGCGGTATAAACGATAGTCTGCTATTAAAAGTTACTCCCAGATCTCTGACAGAAGTCAACTTAAATAGGGAGATTAACTTCTCCATATTAGTCCTGAGCTGATTACGGTCGCACCATTCCACCAAGATATCAAGATCCAACTGCATCAAAGCCACGTCATCTTCCGAGGTCATAGGGCGAAATATCTTAAGATCATCAGCATAAGCCAATACACCAGACTTAAATCTGTTTAATAAGTCGTTAATAAATATTACAAACAATAAGTTAGAGCCCTGTGATACACCAGATCGTGTAATAAACTCCACCGAAGCAAAGCCATTATAAAATACATAATTGACCCTCCTTGACAAATACGATGAAACAAGACACATAAGCCCAGGGGAAAAGCCAAACATACTGAGCTTCTGCAGGAGAAGATCGTGATGGCTCGCATCAAATGCTTTACAAAAGTCAGTGTACATTACATCCACTTGACCACTCCTATCTAAGGATTCACATTTTCCTTCTGTAATCATTGCAAGATTAGTAACAATAACCGGAGTATAAATACCTCCATAGATGATTTGATCAAATACTTTAGCGAAGTTAGATATTATA